TCTGACATTAGCAATTTTACTGTATCTATCCCTCTAAGGGAGCTCTGGTGGTACAGTGTTAAAGGCATTTGACTGCTAACCAAAAGGCTGGTGGTTCAAACCCACCAGCCACCCCTCAGAAGGAAGATTGGGCAATCTACTTCCGTAGAGATACTGTCTCAAATACCCCGGGAGGAGTCACTCTGAATGGGATTCGACTCGACAGCAGTGAGTTTGGTTTTGGTTTTATCCCTCTAAGTTCCACTGCCTACTCTCAGAAACTTCTTTCTCCTTTACCCCTGTAATCTCTCTGTTTAATTTGGTTTTGGTTTTGTTTTCTTCTTCCTGGGAGCTCTGGTGGCATAGTACCTAAGGCATTTGACTGCTAATCAGAAGGCTGGCGGTTCAAACCCACCAGCCACTCCTCAGAAGGAAGATTGGGCAATGTACTACCGTAAAGGGTATGTCATTAAATTATATATGTAAATGATACATATAGAAATTATGCAGCCTCAGAAACCCAAGGAAGGGTCACTATGAGTCAGAAATGACTCGATGGCAGTGAGTTTGTTTTTTTTAGGCGGGGGGTTGCTGAGGCTATATCTTTTTGAAACAGTTTATATTCTGCACATTTCTGAAATTTTCAGATGCTTAGGACCATCACAGTTCTGCTTGATTCTTTCACGGCCATGACCACTTGGAAACTGTCAATCTCACAGCCATCTGCCCAGTTTCCACTTGAGGTACAGTCTTTACCTTTCAGGGACAAGTATTTATGGGTTTTATGTTTTGTTTTGTTGTCTTGTTTTGATTTCCTTTGCTTATTAAAGTAAAATCTGCTGTTCCCCTTCACTTTATCTTGCTCCACCCAGTCTTGTACAACCTTTGCTGCTCTTCATAGGTTGGCCATATTCACCTTGTTGTAGGATTCTTGGGATTTCCCCATTTCCTAGTTTTTGGATGAAGTCATTTATAGACTTTTATTTTGTTACTCTGTCCTGGTTGGTTAATTTGGAGTTCAGAATAGGTTTGAGGGAGATTCTAATCTATACTGCTGCTATGGTCAGGCCATGATCAGGTCACTGGGTCCTTAGGACTTTATTTTAGTAAATATAGTTTATGATCCTTTGAGGGGGAAAAAAAAAATGGAAAGGGATGGCTCCTAAATAAATAAATCACTTTGGCCTTCAGTCTGCCCAGGTGTCTCTTTTCCCCAAAACGTCTGCCAGGGTTGAGTTATGCCACAGCCTGTCGCTGCCCAGTGAAAATCCCCCTACTGTTGTGATTACAATTGCCCACCTGCCTGTGTAGTCTGTGTTATGTAGGCTTTGCATGAATCTGCAGAGGTTTCCTCTCCCTTCATGGCTGGTACTCCCCAGGGACTATGTGCTGTGAATTTCCTAATGTCTTTCAACTGCCCCTCCTCTGCTGTGCCACTAAAATCTCTAGGCTGGGCTGCTCACTGGAGGAACTGAAAGTCCATATTCTGGAAGACTATGGGGAGAGAATACTGCTACTGAAGATAACTTCCCTCACTGGCATGTATTAGCCTTGCACTTAGAGTACTTACTAGAGCCCTAGAAGAACTGTAGTCCCTTGTCATGTCCTTGGGATGACAGCATTTGATTTCTTCACTCAAACTTTTTTTTTTTTTTTTAGTTTTAAACTTCTGAATTTTAGCTGTTATGTGATTTATAATGTATGGTCAGTGCAATAAGTATACATTTACAATATATATATATATAAATCATAGAGCACTCTGAATCATTTCAAATATGTAAAGTTGATTACAGCTATTAGATATCTTTACTTTTAAAAGTTTTAAGATATTTAGAATGTATCTACTTCCGTAGTGATACTGCCTTGGAAAACCAAGGAGGGGTTGCTATGAGTCAGATCTGACTCAAAGGCAATGAGTTGTGTATTTTTTTTTTTTTTTACTATTATAAAAAGTTTTGAGGTTGTACTTATCATCTTAGAAAACATAATCCTTGATTATAATATGGTTTACATGGATACATTAATTTTATCTGTTTGTTTTAAAGAAGGTTTACTTGAAAACATAGGTGTTAGTAGTATAATAGAGATAAAAAAGGAACAAATAAAAAAAAAAAAAATTGGATCCAGCACCCATTTCTGATCAAAACTCTCAGCAAAATAGGAATAGAAGGGACATTCCTCAACATAATAAAAGGCATTTATGCAAAA